AAAAAAAAAAAAACCTTTCTAAATACACCTCAAAGCACTTTTAACGTATTATTTATCTTCTCAAATATCAAAACCCTCCCACCTTTATTGTTGAACAACCCCCCTTGATCAGTTATTGTGCATCGGATGCATCCTATGCCCAAGCCCCCTTTGCCTTTTTCCAACCTCAAGCCTCTAGGTCTAGTTCTATTTAAGTGTTGTACGTGAAGTGAAAGATAATGAAAGTTGCTATGAAAAATTGGGAAAATCCTCTATTCAATTCTGGGGAAATTTGCAGCAAACAAAAAAACTCTAAAAAACTATTGCTCCTAATTTTTCATATCTCAAAAACCTTACCACTAGAATATCATCGAGGGCTCCTTATTCTTCAACAAGCGACCATCATCTTGTTAGCAAGTATGGCAACCCTTGAGATCATCCTCTTCTATGTGGATGATCTGAATGTAACGTTGCTGAGATCACTAGAGGACGATGGTGGAGCACTTGTCCAACTAAGGTAATGGAACCAATTTGATCAGTTGATTTGAAATTTTTCGGCAAACTATATGTTTAGATGATTTAAAATCTTCCGGCAAACTAAACGTTCAAATGGTTAGATTCAGTCCCTGAAAATTAAAAATGAGTGTTATAAGATTTGAGAAATGTGGGGTGTATGTACAAAATATAAGGTGTATATTGAGAATGTGGGGTGTGTGGATATTATGGAAAGTATGTGGGGTGTATTAAGATAAATTTTAAGTAAAAAAGCAAATGTATGGTATATTAAGTATGTGGGGTTCATTCAACAATTTGTGGAGTGTTAATATAATAAGCCTAAATAATAAAACAATTTTTCCAAATGAGAACTTAATCATAATATCATCAAGGTATGCTTCCTGAACCCAGAACCGTCTTCTAAACCCTAAAAATAAAAACCCAAAAAAACAATATTATCCACCACTTTGAACAATTAGAATTTTATTTTCAATTCATATTACAACTTCCCGTCTAAGTCTCTACAATTTTGAATAATTCTCACTCTCATGGTTCTTCTGATAAGATATGTTTGCTCTGCTTAAAATATGGCAAGAAAAAATGTCCCTCTGGCTCTCTGGGCGTTTTTATTTCTTTCCATTTATTTTTTTGATACTTGTTCATTGGTGTGTTGAATTGGTAAAGGAAAAACATCTGCTTGTTAATTGGTGTGTTCAATTGGTAAAGGAAAAAACATCTGCTATGGAGATGGAATTGCATTGCTTTATTGCATAAATAATATTAGGGTTCTGGGTTCAAACCCCAGAAAACTTTTGTGTCAGTGTGTGAATTTTGGTTAGTTTCTCTCTCTGTGGGATTCCTTTGGGTAATTCCTTAGTTCAATAGTTGGATAATGAGAGAGAGAGAGAGAGAAAGAGAGAGAAGATAGTTCATTCTATTCACATTACGATAGTGGGTATAATGTTCCACCATTTTAAGCTTTTCACTCATCCTGTTTGATCATGCCAGTTATTTCCATTTGATTTATTCATTCAATGGCCGGAAATAAAGAGGTGTGTGAGAAGCTAAAAGGTGTATATGAAAAATCACCTCCCTAATGATATACTGCAGAAAGTTTGAACTGTGATGGTTGGCTCTTAGCAGTCGTGTTGAGGTTAACCAGTGAATTGATTTCCTTATCGCATTTCCTGTTGAAATCTCAATGGTGAAATTAAACTTCTGTTTACAGTTTTCTTGATCCCTCTTTCAGGGAAAAAATCGTTTTTACATGTAGCTCGAGGTTCTTGCACCATGTCCTAAATTTCTTGACTTTAGTTACATATACATTGGTTTTAGTTAGGCCAAAAGTGATATTTGGAAATTTTTATAAAGAATGCATATGCGAACAATCTAATGATGTCTAAATGTGAACTAAGTTTTTTGTATTTCGTATGTATGTTAAAGACTGCTAAAGAAGGGATTGGCCTTGAATTGGTGATGGTGGAAGTGTGGTAGTCCCTTTTACCAGCTATCCCTGCAGTGGTTGCAGGACAAGCATTTTGAGTGAAGAAAGGGCGTGCTGAAGAACAGAGATTAATGAGTGCTAGGGGGAGAGAGGAGTTCTTGATGAGATTTTCGTCTGTGAAAGGGTTGGTGCATTTTCAAAGGATCCAATTCCTGATAGTTGTGTTACTGTGTGCGGTGTACCTGAGCTGGATGCATGTGCAAGCATTGTTTGCGTAAACCAACATCACGTATACCTAAACTTTGTTTGCGTAACTGGAATGACATCTGCCTTTGGAGATGCCAGAATGAATGTCTTAAACTTTGTTCTTCCAATTCTTCTTAGTAGCTTCAATCTAAAAAGGAAACGCGTTTACTTAGTGTCAGCTACTGCCCTTTTGTGAAAATTATTCGGAGAATGTGATTGTAATTGACTTGGCATCTATTTTAAGATCACGAGCATGGACTAATAATTTTTGCTTTATCGCTCAAGCTTGTTTGTTGGCTTTTCACATTACTTTGCAATGTCCTTTTTCTGTTCAACATATTTCCTGTGTTTAAGCGTGCAACTGATGTGGATTCAGGTATTTGGAGAAGCTGTCATGCATCGCTTGGTATTGTGCTTGAGTAGCCATAGCAGACAGCTAATGCGGGTGTAAATTGATCTCAGGTACACGAGCATATAAGTGCCAATGTTTATGCATCGCTTTGGATTAGAGGAGAGTGAGTGGCTTATCCCTTAGGTTTTTTATGTTTTTAATTTTTTGTTTGCACACGGATAATGGAATTTATGAAATTCTTGTGCTCGGGGGATGTGATTGGGATAACATCTCAATTGAAGACGTGAATCTCTTGATTTAAAATGCACCAGCAGGCAATGCGAAATTTTGGACTTCCGCTGGGAAATATCACTGAACGTAGAAGATTTTATCCTAACCACCTACTCTCACCACTTGGCTGTCAACTAATAGACTCCGATTGGGGTGGCTGTGTTTGATGACTTACACGTTAGGATGGTCAATGGTTCGACCTTTCGATATAACAAACAAATGAAAGAAGGTTATTATTCATCAATGGATTGAATAGCTTCCCATGAGATCACTGATTACTGAAGTATAAAACCAAATCAATGCATATTTATACAAGTTTACAATGAATGATAGAAATGTTTAAGCCAAAAACGCCTTAACTGGACTAATTTAAGCATTAAACAAAAAAGATTATTAAAGCTCTGCATGAGCAGCAGGAGTCTCTTCATGCGGAGAGGCCACCGTCTCCTTTACCTTTTCTTCTGTCTTATGCACCGTCTCTCTCACAGCTTCGCCTGCAGATTTAGCCGATTCCTCCACCGTCTGTTTGCTTGTTTTGAAACTCTTCTGTGCTGCCTCTTTCACTTTTTCTCTCATCCCTTGACCATCGCCTTCGCTTCCCTTTACATTTGCTTTGTCTCTGCCCCTGAAACTGATAAAAACTTCACAAACCCCCTTTGTTTTCTATTTTTCTTTAGTTTGGATCATAACAAGACTTGGAACCTCTTTCAACATTATATAGATAAATATCATTTTGTATAAAACTTTTCGAGAATCGCCGGAGAAAAGGAAAATAGGGTTATGTTTGAGAAGAGTGGATAATAATGATAGAAAGCATTGGATATTAAAAGTTACTAAACTTACTCTAAATTTGGAGGGGAAAATTGCAACTGCATGTCGTTTATGATGGTTTTAACTTTGTCCCATGCATTTTGATGAGACTTTTGGAGGACATATATTGTTTCATAGAGCATAGACATTGTATCTTGCATTGTTCTTCCAAAAACAGTTTGCTGATCAGCTTCCTCATTCTTTTCAACCCTCGGTTGCGCTTCCCCGATCATTTTTGGAATCTGGAGCGAGACGATGATGAACCAAAAAAGAAAGAGTGATGTTCTTCTGCTAAATCTGTCCATGCCACCAAAATAATAGGAGATCAATTGGGTTGTTTGAGATCTGAACATTTTCTAGGCTTGTAGCTAATACATTTACGCTAACGTGGGGTTAGTTTCTTGCATGTAGGATTCCACATTTGAACTTGTCAATCATGGTTGACATGTAATAATACGACAGTAATTTATGGCTTGCAATTTAAATTGACTTTGTGAAAGAATGTCAGCTACAAATTATATTATATATACACTAAAAGAGAAAATAGCCTAAAACACTGTTCATAAGCACAGTGTTCTTCCGTTTTTGCCCTTCTTGATTTTCTGTTATTTCATGTATGCCCCTGATATCCATGCGTCCTCTGCTTCTATGAGATGTCGATGCGTTGCATGGTTCAAGAAGCCCTCGAGCCTTCCTCTTTTAATTTCAATTGCGATCTCTGCCTCACAAAAGCTCTTCGTGCTCTGATGGCTCTCCGATCTCCAGTTCTCTTTCTCTCTTTGTCTCTCTCTCCCTTTCTTGCTAAAAACCTTGATTAGCAACCTAAAGTGAGAAACTCAGTCTTCTCTTCCTTCCTACTCGATTTGATTCGAACAAAAAATCTCTTGCACGAAATCAATTTTCTCCCCCATCACCGATTTCGACTGCATGCACAACTATCAAGCCCTAGAATCCAACCAAACTCACTCCCTTCAAGCCCGTTTTTGCTCTTCCACTCACTGCCCAGAAAATCAAGTTCTCAAAGTTCGATGTTTCATCAATTTCCTCCCCCTCAAAGATTATTTTGGTCTTTCGTGCATACTGATTTTTTATTTCTAATAATTTTGGTTGTGTGATTAGTGATTTTTGTTCTTAATTTTACTAAAAATTTTGAGTTTTTCTTTCTGTTGTTTCTATGGTTTTTTGTTCTGCATATTTCAATTACTCTCTCTTGCTGAGGAACTACCGCAACCACTAGGGGCCACTGCCGCATTAAATTATGGGCTTCAATCGTTTTCTAAAACCTTTTGTACTCATGGTAAGTTATTCTAGGTTTTATTCCATATTCAGATCATCCCCAATTTCAAAAGTTTAAGGAATTGGTTCGTTTCCGTGTTGCATGTTTAACATTCTTTTGTTTGATGCTGAGTTGAGGCTTGAATTTGGCCAAATTTGGGTAAGAACCATTAAAATCTAATCCTAATTTTCTATAAAATTCCCTGTATATTTATTATTTGTTTCCAACAGCAGGTAATCAGGAGTTTTATTTGATCTTCTCCATGCAGAACTAGAAAGACCTTGGAATCACACAGTAAATCAATAATGCAAATGGACAGATGCCATCATAGCACTCTGCTATATCCCGAACATGATTTTGTACATCTGCTATATGCTATATTCCGAACGCTTATCCACCTACTGCCTATTACTATGGAGGTAAAACTTATGGCTAAACTCTTTTTGCTTGAGATTAGTTTATTGGTGGATTATTAGATTCTCTTGAAATTCATGTGTAATTTTTTAAAATGAAATTGACGTGTGTTCATGAGAATTTGTATGAGTTTCGGCATGATGTGCGGTTTGAATTATTTCTTTCTACTTCCATTCAGGACTTTTAAAATGAAGCTTCTCCTGATGGTAATTTCATCTTTTATAGCCTCACCTTCACATCATTCATCACTAAATTTGTTAATATAAGTTTATAGTCAAATAATCTGCCTGGTCAATTGTTAAAACACAGGAAGAAAGAAGCAGCCTACAATTTTATAAACTATAGTCCATATGCCTTTTTGATGGTATCAATGGTAAGTTGACAGTTAATGTAATTTCACACTTTCATTATATTGTGCATTGTGCATTAAGTTTATAACTAACTTTATATTTTGTTTTTTTTCTATAGAAGGCACCCTTCTCAACAGCAAAAGTCAATTAATTTAACAACTCAGAAAGCTCTTAAAAAATCTTATTAATGGTTGTAACAACATTGATAGCCACTAGAAAAGTAAGAACAATTTCTTTCTTCATAATAATTATTACCATAAATCATTGGTCTACAATTTTTCTTTTCTTTTGCAATTATTGCTTTCTTTGATTGAATGAATTTGTATTTTTTTCCCTTTGCAAATATGAATCGTTGCCATTTGTAAATGTTTTTATGCATAATTTACAAAGTTTATTTTCTGGAAATTCTGTTGTCTATAATATGCATATTCATTGAATAATATGTGACGATTCCTTTACAGCACCACAGGGCATGTGGCTTCTAAAACCGGTGAGAAATTGCAGCTCCCCTGGGCTCGATCCATTTTGGATTTTGGGGCCGGCGGGCCCGGGGGGGGGGTGGCAAGGGGTCTGATTTGGAGGAAAAGAAAAGAAATAATTAAGGTGGTGTTTAATTTTATTTATTTTTTATTCTTGCATGTTTGATTTGTTTTGAATTTTTGCATGTTTGATTTATTTATTTTTTATTAATTTTCACTTTTTGTTTTGTTCATTGCAGGCTTACAATGTTTGATTAATTTCTATGGGATAAGTTGTTAATTTTTCCTCAATTTATTCATGTTGTTTTATGAATGCTTAAATGTTCTGTATCTAATCTTACTAACTCTTTGAGTGTATTTTTAACAATGGTTGCCACTATTTTTTCCTGTTAATTTTTAAGTCTCTGTGTTAATCACTGCAAACTTTGGACATCGATCTATTTTGTTGGTGGTTTGATGTGTTTTGTGTTGTGTTTTTCAGTCAATTGACTCAATTCAGATGATTAATTCCTATGGTTTTCATGCCATATTGGTTGAATTTATTATAATTATATTTGATTTTGTTGGAGCGATATCCTCATATAAATAACAAGTGGAAGGTTTACAGGACATTAACCAATCAGTCGAGATATTAGTTTGTTTACTTTTTGCTGTCCCTGGTTAGAGTGAGAAAATGTTTGGGTACTTTATAGTTTTGAATTTGTAGTTAGGAAGATTTAACAATACTTTTTTTTGTTTGCTTTACTTTGTTACGTCTTGATAAATGCAAGCTGAAATTATCACTTATATAGCCTCCATTGCAAAACAGTAGTACTTTTGGTTTGCTTTCTGTGTCTCCTTCACTATTTCTATTTTGTGGATGTACAGAAGTTTCTGTGTCTCCTTCACTATTTCAACCCTAGCATTTAATGGTGTGATATTTTTAATTCTCATCATCTTCAGTGCAAAAGTTTGTGTGCAAGTTTTTTGTTATGGTTTTATTTTTCTGTATGCATTATGTTTATCCTGAGCCAAAGGTTGCTAATCTTATGAGTGTGTGCTGCTTGGTCTCCAATGATTGTTTATATTTACCAAGGGTTAATGAGAGGAAAAATCCATGCCAATAACTTGGAATGAACCTCCACCAAATTGTAGGGAATCCAATTAAGATGCTTAAGCCTCTGGATGGAACTCCCACAGCTCGGACCTCCTCATGAAAATTCTGGTTCTTTAGTTTGGGTTTTCTTAATTTTTCAATTCATTGGTACTTTTTTCTCAAGAAAGTGAATATACTGCATATGGGTGGGAAAAGGGTATTTATTCATTTAGTTATTGAAATTTGAATGCAGACTATTCAAATTATGGTTGCGGTGTTCTGGATCATTAAGTTATGTAAAAATCAGTCAAAACTATGCTCAATTTGATAATGTTGAACAATTTGGTCGGGTTTTCACACAGTATTGTAGGATTGTGTAGTGTTAGGCATTGCAAGTCTGAATGATGTTTTCCATTCGTGTGATCTGTGTTGACATAATGTGTAATCCACTTGAGCTCTTTGAGTGTTTTTGTATGAAACTTATAGTTGTCGGAGAGTTTTAACCATCCTTTGAATTAGTGTCCTCGATCATGCCTAACTTGTTAAACCCTTACCAATATAAGCAAAGAATTTTAGTGGTTTTAGGTCAAAGCATGAGTTTTGACGTTAACATATTTTGTAACACTACTTTCCATGTAACATATTTTGACATTCCAAAAGATTGCTGCATTTTCATTTTGGAACTTCATAGCCTCTCTTCTTAGTAAAATGAATTAACCAAGATTGTTTTTTCTTTATTATTTGGTCCGTTTGGTAATTGTTGAGTGACTAAGTATTACTTACCAATTGCAACAGATCATTGCACTTTTAACTAGTGGAGGTCTGAATGCTATGTTATGGTGTATATATCTCTATAATCATCAGGTAAGAATGGTTTTCATGAAATTAATGCTTTTTAAGAAAGCTTTCATTTCGGTATAGAAAAATGAATACATTCATTTGCAGAATGAAGATGGGGTTGGCGTCTGCATATTGAGGGGCCAAATAGCATGATTGTGGACTGTTTTGGTTCTTTACTAAACATTAGGATGTAAATAAATTTTGACGTGGATTACATATTTAACATAGTTTTAAAACCCGCAGCATCGTGCGGGTTCGATTTCTAGTTATAACTAATCTTCTGGATCTCTACCATGTTATTCTGATGTAAGTCCCATTGTGAAGTCTCATTGTAATGTATTTGAGGTTTTTTTTTTCCTCCTCCCTTTCGGAGCCTAAACTTTGAATTGTGTCCAAATGCGATGCTTGAACTAATAATAGTAGTACTAAAGTATCAAATGAAACTTGAAACTGCAAACGTGTGTTGTTAAATTAGTTAGAACGTCTATGCTCCCCACTTTTCACCCGAGTTTGAATTTGGATTCTTGAACATTTACCGACTTTGGTATTAAAAAAAAATGTTTTCAAAACAAAACAATCAGATTTGAAAAGTGATAGACCAACGACCGATCCGACCGTTGAAAGCTAATGATCGCTCAGTGGAGTCGAACAAACCGTCAGTATTGTTACGAAATTTAATTTTGCGGTACCTTTTTTGAAGGTATAGAGGTCTCCGTTTGGTTTTAAACGTTATTATTCCATAGCTAACTCATAGGGCCATTTGGTGGGCGGGATGAGATTGGGTTTTAGGGAAAAGATTGGATTGGTAGGGACATATAAGACAAGACTTATAACTTATGTACAAGGATAAGTTAGATAACTCACTCTATTATATATTCATAACTCATCATGTCTAGTTCTGTGCATTTCACATTTTGACACAACAAATAAAGAAATGAACTCAAGTCTATTTTAATTGGTCAAAACCTATCCCAACCAACGCACCCATAAAAGACTTTAGAAACATGTTCTAAAGGCTTGAATATCAATTCAAATTGAAAAAAGATGTTTCATATGAAGTGGGAAGTGGGGCCTCTTAACAAAGATTGTAAACCAAATGATACATGGTTTTGAATGGCTTCTGTACCAATTCAGAAAGGGTGTAAACCAAATGATACATAGTTTCGAATGGCTTCAATACCGATTCAGAAAGGACACCTAATCATTTATATAGAGATTATTTCTAGAAGAAATAACTACTACAATTCATTCTCTACGTCATCCTACAATTCATTCTCCACGTCCTACATTTATTTTCAAAGACAATAAACTCTAGAAACTAAATTTTGCAACTTTAATCTCTAGAAACCTTTGAGCTCTTATTGTGTTTGTTTCAACTTACAATAAGTGATATATAAGTGAAATGCATTTATCTATCAATGAATCAAGGTACGTTGCATATTGTCCACGATATTTATAATTAAGGGTTATTATACAAATGGTTTCTGAGATTTGCATGATCAATAGAAATGGTCTCTAAGATTGAAAATCAATAGAATGATCTCTCAGATTGTCCACCATCCATGATTTTGGTCTTTCCGTTAAAAACTCTTTGGGAAATTTTCAAAACTTCGTAACTCAATCGATTCTTAATCAAATTCGACCGATAATATATCAAAATGAAGATAAGAAAGTGTAGAACAAGATTATAACATTTGGAAGCCCAATTATTGTCAGAGATGGCCAGAAAATAGCCTGAAAGATGACTGGTCTGCGGGAAAACTGGAAAACTCGCCGGAAATTGGGTAAACTTTAAATGTTCATAACTTCTTCAATACTCAACGAAATCTAGTGATTCAAAAAGAAAATCATACTTATCGATGAGACTAAGAGAATGGTATCTTTATTTACTACTAACTCGTCGTGGTTTGGCCGGAAAACTGCTCAAAAGTGGCTAATTCGAAAATGGTTGGCCACTTTCGAGCCGTTGTCCGACCAAACCACGATGAGTTAGCCTTCGAAAAAGGTACCATTCTCTTTGTCTCGTCAAGAAGTATTATTTTTGTTTTTGAATCACTCGATTTGGTTGAGTATTGAATAAGTTATGAATGTTTAAAGTTTACCCAGTTTTCGGCGAGTTTTCCAGTTTTCCCGCGAACCAGTCACCTTTCAGGCTATTTTCCAGCCATTTTTGGCAACCATTGGGCTTCCAAATGGTATAATCTTATTTTACACTTTCCTATCTTCATTTTGATATATTATGGGTCGAATTTGGTTAAGAAACGATTGAGGCACTTTTCCCCCATAAAGATAATGCTTCCAAATCTTCAAAGCAAAAATAATGGCCGCCGACGCAAGATCATGAGTAGGATAATTCATCTCATGGGGCTTTAATTGTCGCGATGCATACGCAATCACCCTGCCATGTTGCATTAACACATAACCCAAACCATTCAAAGAAGCATCACTATAAATCTCGAAATT